TCCACTTTCTAAACTAGTTATAATTAGAATTGATATAGAAAATTTCTTTATTTATTACAAAATGTCACAACGTCCTTTTTTATAGTGATTATAAATAAAATCGATACAGAAAGTTTTTTTCTTTATTACAAAAATTTCATTATCACTTTCTATACCGGTTATACCTACAACCATATAAAAAATATTATATATTTATAATTACACCACCACACTACTTTTTATATATCTTTCTATTAGTGCTGTCAAAATGGGTTGTAACCCGCGAACTAACTCGGCTCACCATGAGTTTGAGCCAGATTGGGTTTGAAAAGAAGGTAATTTTTTTATGCAGATTAGTTTTCAATCCGGCTCACTTAGAACCCGGCTCAATGGGTTGAACCCGCGGTGAGCTGAGTTGGCTCACCAACCCACCTAATTTAATTTAATTATTTATTATTTTGTGTTTCAATATTATTAGTTAGCATTTTTTTCTTATATCGTAGATAGTGACAAAGAAGAAGATGTTTCAAGAGAGAAAAATATTATAGATTTATTTATTCAAGACTCTAATATTATAAATGGACAAGTGATAAAAAAAATTATCAATATTAAAAACTTATTTATTCGCCTTTTGTACATGTTTTTGGGTTATGCTTAGATTGTATGATACTTTTTATTTTATTTTGACATTTATTTAGATTTGAATTAAAAAAAAAACTTGTAATTTTTATTTTTTAAAAAAACTTATCATTAAATGAGCTAGTGAGTCAACCCGTTTAACCCACCAACCCGTGGTGAGTCGAGCCGGGTTCAAATTTTTTTCAGCTCGCTAATAAGTGAGCCGGGTTGGGTTGTCTCACTAAATGACTAACCCGTGGAGGGTCGAGTCGGGTTACCGTTTTGCAGCTCTACCGATTATATCTACAACCATATAAAAAATATTATATATTTATAATTACGCTACCACACCACTTTTTATTAAATACAAAAATATCTTTGCATCCACTTTCTAAACTAGTTATAATTAGAATTGACATAGAAAATTTCTTTATTTATTACAAAATGTCACCACCTCCTTCTTTATAATGATTATAAATAAAATCGATATAGAAATTTTTTTTCTTTATTACAAAAATTTCATTATCTCCACTTTCTATACTGGTTATATTTATAACCATATAAAAAATATTATATATTTGTAATTATGACACTACACCACTTTTTATATATGAGGGAGTATAATCAATATGAATAGTTGCTATAAAAATTAGTTTTTTTTTCACTAATGAATAAATGTTACAAATGTTAATAATTTGAATAAACTCATGTAACAGGAAATTTTCATAAGAGTAAACAATATAAAGTTTAATTGATTCGGAGGTCCCTATTTGTGCAATTTTGCGTCAATTAGGTCCTTGTATTTTGAAATAACTCAATTTGGTCCCTATTCATGAAAAATTGAAGTTATACAGTCCCTGTCATTAAATTATGTGGACGGCATCAAAATTGTTTCCTGGTGACTAGATGAGGTGTCATTTCATTTGAAAAGTATGTGGCACGTGTCATCCCCTTCCCCACCCAAAATTAGGGTTTGTCAGATTGGGGAAAAAGAACTTGCGTCTTCAGGAAGTCTCTACGCGAGAGAAGGAATTCCGCTGATGGAGATAAGGTAGTCACTCACGGTGTTTGGCTTGTTGTAGGTTTGGTTGCGCGATTGGAGTTTCTTCTTCATGGCGGCGCGATTCCTGGAGGGTGGTTGTTGGGTCTCTTTGTTGTTTGGTTGCCTTCTTAGGTTTTCCTCTCTTTGCAGGTGCGAGGCAAAAGCTCGTGGTGGTGGCCTCTTGCGGATGGCGATTCAGAGTTCGAAGGGTTTCTTCGAATTGGGTCTCTATGTGTGTGATGGTTGTTGGTCCTCTGGTTTTTTTGTGTGCAGGTGGTGAGGATGGCGGCACGAAGCGTCAATGGAAGATGGCTATGGTTGCGCGTGAATGAAGAAGTGGCGCTGCTTATGGTGGTGGTCCGATGCGAGCTTGGAGGATGATGAAGGGTTGATGGCAAACTCGCGATGATGGTCTACGTGAGTGAGGCTTGAAGGTTGCACAATTTTGGGTCGTGGTAGCGGAGTGATGTGGCGACGTTGTGGTGGTTTGCTGGAGAAGATGAAGGTGCGAGATGGTGGTTCTGCGACGACAACTTGGGCGTTGATGATGCGTTGGAGAGGACGGCTGCCAGCGAGGATGGCGGTGACGACGCTTTGGGCTGCCATGGTTTCCGAATGAAGAAGCTTACGTGTGCCACGTGCTTTTCAAATGCCACCTCACCACCTGGCAACAATTTTTACGCCGTTCACATAATTTAACGGCAGGGACTGTATTGTTTCAATTTTTCATGAATAAGGACCAAGCTGAGTTATTTCAAAATATAGAGACCTAATTGACACAAAACTGCACAAATAGTGACTCCGAATATATTAAACAATAATATAATTATAATATTAGTGTTAAAAAGAATATATCCGAATATATATAATTATAATATTATTATAATTAAATCTTATAATAATTAAAAGAACTAAATTTAATCAAATTGAATATATTTTCTAAATCAAAAGTAATATTTTTTAAAAAATTTAAATTGTGAATCTCTCAAGAAGATTTTTACACTTTTTTGTGTTGGAATAATTATCCGATATATATTAACAAAATAATGAAAAATGACTTAATGCCTTTGATTATTGTTATTTTGACTATAGATAATGTTAGGAATATTTACAACAATTTTTACTTATAATTATAAAATATCCTTTAATCTAAAATATGAGAGAACAAATCAATTTATGAATTTTCTATCTTATCATTAAAAAATAATATAAAAATATTTAAAGAGATAAATTAATTTTTTATTAATATAAATCAATTTATGAATTATAATAACTCAAATTTTTTCCAATACTAAAACATAAAAAGAAACATTCACAATAAAAAATAATTTCTCAAATAAATTGAACTCAATTATGTTTTCCAATACATAAATCTGTAAAAACTTTCTTAAAGGAAATAACCAAATAGACTTCATAAAATTTCTACTAAAAGTATGTTCCATCTCTCCCACGTCTACCCAGTATCGAGCATATCTACAACTGCTCCTGTATAACACAAACATTATACGATTATCGTCACACACATAATGCACACACAAACAAGTGTGCGTGAGCTAACCGAATAAACATTAATTCATCAATACATCCTTTACATCTCATCCATTTAGTCCCTACCACAATTCTATCACCCCAACCACCATCAGCACACAATAAGACTATAACAAAAAATACAATGACATCTCACAAGAGGAAAGATGATTACCTTTCTACCCTCTCGAAAGAGGAAAGGTTCAAACTCTTGATTAACTAAGTATAGTTGAAAGACATACTAAAACATAACCATCACCACACCACATCATTGGTTCAACACCCTGACTCCTCACTAAGCTAAAGTGATCAGAAACAACCACCACCATACTTCTTGTAACCCATCCTTTTTTTCACTGCATCACACAAGCAAAAGACAGACCCTAGCTTTAAGGGTATCACTACCAACCATACTAAATCACTTCCTACTCTTGAATCACTTAAGAGTAACACTTAGGGTGTCACACTTACTCACATTTGACTTATAATATATTGGACTATTTCCTATCCAATATGTACTCACTTTAAGTGAGTACACCCATTGATACCCAAAGTACAAGTACACCATTATCAAATGTGCATATTATAATTATTCAGTATATACACCATTGCACACATCCAACAATTGCATTACAACCAATAAAATGCACGAATACCAAAACTTACATTCCAACAATCACATCAACTCAATATATATATATATATATATTTCAGCAAATCCATTACAAATTCCACAACAATGTTAATAACCTAGACATAATTGTATCAGAATATGCATTCATTATATCAGTTATGCATTATAACACACAAGACCATAATGTGTAGTACAATACCAACCCTTAATGTACCCTAATCAAGAATAATAATCCTACCAACCGTGGTAGTTTCACATAACATCATAAATCATACATTCATTCAATCAATTATATCCCACTTAACATCTCATCAACTTACAACTTCAAATATTCAACGAAGGCATTGCAAGTTCCCTAAAAATCAACCAATTCTGCACATTTCGACAAATAACAGATAAACACTCATTCCTTTATACAATCCCACATTACAATTCAAACATGTTAGCTCCCCATACCTTGTTCACTAAATCATTATACAAATATAAGTTTCAATAGTTTTTTGGTTTAATAATTCTTATAGTCCTTATTTATGTTGGATTTTCTCAAATATGTCTTTTTCTGATTTTTTTTTATCTCAATTGGGTTCCTAAATGTGAAAAAATAATGCAATTGAGTCTCTACAATTAAATTGGGTTAACATAGTTAAAATTAAGCTGAGTTGTCGCTATGAGGTGGATTCATTAATTGACGCGGCAAATGCAGGGTTAGGTACGTGGAATATATTAGATTAATAGATTAAAAAATTTGTTTTTGAAAATTGAATTTAGAAATTTTTTTTTCTAAGTTCCGTTTAATTTTTTACTCCTAATGCTCGTTTGGTTAAAAAGAGTCATTATAATTATTTTTATTAAATTGATCTTAATATCGTGTAAATACTAATTTAACAAAAATATCATATTAATTATTTTTAATAAAAATAAAATTACATTAAACAAATTGAAAAATTAGATTAAATAATTTCGAAAAAATTAAAAGAAAAGAGACTAATAACCTAAATTTATATATATATATATATATATATATATATAGTTATAGATTATACCTAGAAAAAATAAAAGTATACATCTTGCACTAGAGAGGGTGGAAAAAAAAGTTAATTCGGTGCCTCGTTGACCGTGCGCAATAGATTGTGTCCAAAACAAATGTTCTTTTCAAAGACTACTTTGGCTGTTTGCCAACTTTCCCGCATTTTCCTTCTTACTTTTTTCACTCTTTTCCAAACCCCTTTTCTCTCACCTTCTCCTTCCCTCTTCACTTTCTCGCTTCAATTTCTCCACTTTCTCACTTCCAAGTTGAAGCTGTAGAAAACAAAACAACTTTCATTGCAAAATATGGGTGCTTCGGACAACAACAACCACTTTCTTCAAGTTGTCTTCAATAACTTCGACGTTCTTGCTCTGTAAATCTCCTCTCTTCTTTTCCAAATCATATACTTTTTTTTTCACTCTTGCTCAATTTATGGCAATCATTTTGGTGTGTCTGTTACTAAATGCATTCTATCATTGACATTTTCTCCAGACCCTTGGTTACGCTTGCTTACCCTTTGTAAGTATGCTGCTCCTTTTGTTGTATTTATCTCATTTGGGAAGTGAATGTATGTCTGAATTTTCAACTTGTATGCCTACCCTTTTGCCTCTATGGTCAGATATGCTTCAATTAAGGCGATCGAGACCAAGTCTGCTGCAGATGATCAGCAATGGCTCACATATTGGATTCTGTATTCCATTCTAACACTCTTTGAGCTCACATTTGCAAAAGTTCTTGAAGTGTGAGTACCTCTCTAATGGTCATGTTTGAGATATTATAACTTCATTTTCTATGCCATATAACTTATAAATGATCCGTTATTGAATGTTCTCTCTCTATTCCTTTAGAAGGACAAGGGGAAAACATTGTCATATCATAATCGCTTCACAATTTAACCATAGTTGTAATTTTTGGAGCATATCAAGAGTTTCACGTCTCACATTCTCTTGGTTTTGCTTACCTTCTAGTTTTTATTTGTCAAAATAATTTGAAGAATTTCAAATAAGGATAAGTGTAGGTTCACACGCATGAAATTGGGCCAAGTGACCTGATATAGTGAAAATTGTCCCATTTGTTCGTTGCTTGGTCAAGTGGATTTTGTTGTTGTAAAATGCTGCACTTGTGTGAAACCTAAAATGCCTTGAACTTTGTCTCTTATTGTGCTTATGTTTGGGTAAAGATTGTGAGTGAGGATACAATAATAGTCTTTGCAATGTTTTCTGTTTTTTGTTTTCTTTGCTTTACATCTGTTTAAGTGTTATTTCTCCAATATAATATTTTGGTACTAATTTCAGGCTTCCCATTTGGCCCTTTGCCAAGTTGATATTCAGTTGTTGGTTGGTTCTGCCTCACTTCAATGGGGCTGCAGTTGTTTACAGGAATTACATCAGACCATTCTATATGAATCCACAAATCCCAATTCCACAAGGCTCACAAATGTGGTATTTTCCCCAAAAGAAATCCTTATTCAGTGAGTCAGATGATGTTTTAAGTGCTGCTGAGAGATACATGGAAGAGCATGGTACAGAAGCCTTTGAAAGACTTATAAACAAGGTACACATATCACTAATGCTTTTAGTCCAGAATAACTGGCCCTGCTTCAAAGTTAAGATATTTCAAAATTTGCGAAAATGTGGTTTTTGGGACTATTCAGCTTTGTTTATATATTATTAGGCAATTACATGTTATACAGAATTGGCATATTACCCCGTGTCTAATTCTAAATATGCAACATTTGCTTATGAACTAAAATCAGAGTTGTGGACAATAACAGACTAGCCTGGGAGATAACTGTCTTGCATAAGTCCTGTTTATAAGTAAGTCGAAGGTAACTTAACATTAGCAGAAGCATGATTGTTAAGTTACAAAACTTAATTTTAGAGTAGTTTTCAATTTTCTCATTGAGTTCTCAAAAGAAAGTTTGGTTTTGTTTTTATAGTAACTTGGTTCAGATTAAATGTAAGTATGCCAATGTACCTTTGAAAGTGATCAAACATGTTATGATACTGAGTTTATTCTCCAGAATTTCGAACACTCCAGACATATTTGCACTTTAGTGGGGGGAGATTTGGCTGCTTGGTATTTATTGTAGAAATTTGCTACATAATTCTATCTTAGTTTTCAACATTCAATGAATCATTTGAGCTAGACAAGCTGGAATTATAAGCTGAAATTTCATTTACAAGTTGAGGTACAATTGTTTTAGACTTCTTGTGATTCCCTTGTAGTAAATTTAAACTTGTGATTTTACGCACCGGGTTTCACTTCATTTGGATTTGGACTAATATTTGAAACTATGAAGAACATAATTGGTTTTGATGTGCAGAATGACAGACAGGCTAGGGCAAGGAGGAATGGAAATTACATGATCTTTGATGACGACTATAGATATTGAACTTTGTTTTTGTTTTCTTAAACTTTGTTAAGGCATCATTGCTAATATTTCATTTTATCATATTTTGTGATGTTTGATGATGACCATATATATTGAACTATGTTAATGGCTCACTTGTTCTCCAACACCCTTCCCTACTTTTAAAGTTTTTAGTTATTAATTTAGTTATATTTTGATAAATTAAGAGAAAAAATATTTTTAAGGTTTTTTTTATCCCAATGCATTTCTATTTTCTATAACTTACTAAAAGAAAATGTAAATTATGATTATGAAATTATACTCATGTGTGTGTGTATATATAACATTATTTATTATTAATGTAATTAGAATATTGTATGGAAAATATTATGTTATAGCTTCCAAATGTTAAATTTTCAGTTGTGGAATTAATTTTTCTCTGTAATTCACTCAATTGTCTAGCTAATTTTCACTCACATCTCACTTTTAGTACAAAAATATATGCTAAGATTACCTCTAATTCGTATGAAAGAACATGCTCATTTTGTGGGAAGGAAAAAACAAATACTAGAGAGAAGGGTGGTGTGCCATAATGAATGGAGAACAACAGCATGATATTAAACCAGAGAAATTATAATGCATTCCATTAAATTTTAAGGGATTTAGAATAATTAAATTTGTATTTTACAATAAGTTGTTTAAGTTAGTGTCATGCCATCATCTCGCCAACTAATGATGAAGTTAATGCGCATTTTAATTAGGTACTTAATTAATAAAATATGTTTTTTTTTTTAATTTAAAAGTATAATTATGTCATTTTAAATCTTGATTGTTGTTTTATAAATATTTTAAGATAAGGTTTGATTGTTTCACATACAAAATCTGAGTTAAAAAATATAAAAATAAAAATATACCAATAATAAATTATAAATAAATTTTTAAACCGGTAATATGATTTTAAATTGAAATAAATATAATATTTAAGCAAAAAATATTTAATTAATTAGAAGATGAATTATAATATGAGATAACTTTTAAGAAAGCAAAAAGGTTGACGTGGTTGTAATACTTAATACTATTGGTAAAAGAATAACTCTTAAAATAGTTAAATTTGTAGTACAGTAATAATGATTTTACAAAAAATAAATAAATAAACATAATGATTTTTCAACGTCTTTCTTTATGTGGCAAGACTTGTGAGTCCTTCACACTGTTTTAATCTTTTAAACAATTCAAAGTAGGATAATATTTTCAGTTTTATTTTCATTTACTTTTAAATTATTTATAACTAATACTTTTATTTGAAATATATAAAAGTAATATAGTTATTGAGACAATGGGATTATTCTTGTAAAAAAAATTCAATATTTTTCTTTCATATGAAAAATTTTAGGCTTAATACCCTATTTTGTCCCCAGTTTCGCTCGACAATGTCAAATTAGTCCATCCTTTAAAACGTGCGTCAATTACGTCTCTACTTAATAAAATTTATATCAATGAAATCCCTCGCGTTAAATCCGTACAAACAGCAGCGTTAATAGGAGAGAGAAAAAAAATAACTAACGCCATTTATACGGATTTAACGGAAGGGATTTCATTGATATAAATTTTATTAAGTAGGGACGTAATTGACGCACGTTTTAAAGGATGGACTAATTTGACATTGTCGAGCGAAACTGGGGACAAAATAGGGTATTAAGCCAAAATTTTAAAATGATATTTTGAGAAAGGAGAAATAGTTATCTAAATATCCTTTGTGATTAACATTTGCAGATTTACTAAGTAAAATAATACTTTTTTATAGTATCTTTTTATATTAGTTGAAATCTATCCAATATAAAAAGTGATATGGTAACATAATTGTAAATATTGTAAGATTTTCTATATTGGTTGTGGATCCAACCGGTATAGAAAATGGTACGGTGGCAAACCTCTAATAAATTATAAAGTTTTTCTATACTGGTTAAACCTAGACCGATATAGAAAATTACTTTTTATATCGGATAGTCACTGTAACTAGTATAAAATGTTTAATTTCCTTCTTTCAGACTTTCATGCTTCATCATTCGCCTTTACACCTCTTCTCTACACCTCTGTTTCTACTTCTCCCAATCATTTTCACTTTTATCTCTCAACTTTCATCTTGTTCACGACTTCACCTTTCCTTTCCTCGTCGAAGGTTGTGCTATCGTCGTTGTCCTCCAACACCATCACCGCATTAGTGCCCGTATCTTCCAAGACCATCGTTGTGCTACCATTGTTGTCCCTCCAACACCATTGTCGTGTTGTCGTTCAACACCATTGTCTTGTTGTCATCGTTGTCTTCCAACACCATCGTCACTCTACCATCGCTCTACTCCATAGGTCATCTTCTCAACAACGTTTGTCCCTCTTCTATTCTTCTCGTTCTCGTGTACTCCACATGTGGTTGGTTACGGTGAGGTCTTGTAGTATTGCCTTCGTTGTTCACCTTCTCTGCATTTTGGATTAACACTCAAGTATACCCTACATTACATTAGGGAGTTATTGAGATTTTGTTTGAGTCTAGTGTGCCTAAGGGCTAACACTCATGTACCAAATTCCACCTTTGCATTACTTCATTGTGTTAGAAATCTTCATGTCCCATATTTAAATTCAATTATATCCTTCCATAGACCTTCTAAAATTATTCTTAATCTCTACTTTCATTTTGTAAGTAGAGCCATATTGAATAGTCTCATATTTTTAACCACAACTCCACCTTCTTTTGTCTTACAAATATTCTCCCATTTAACCCATGCAATCTTTTTATCTCGGCCCCTATTCCCCCCCCCCTCCCATCTCCATAATTTTTTTTTCATTTTCCTAATTTCATTATTGACATTGTTGTTACTTTATAAAAGGACAAAAAGAACACTAGCAAGACTGTAAGAATTGATTTTATGATGTGTAACCTACCTTTCCATTTTCATAATCTTTTCTTGAATATATTCATAACAGGTTTCCAAAAGTTATATTTCTTGGGTTTCACCCACTATCAGGTTAGATAGGCAAAAGGTAAACTCATAATACTACAGTTCAATAATAAAGAGAATCTTACTAAATTTTGCCTCTCTATACACAATCATTCAATCTTGCTCTTGGTGGAAATTCACCTTAAGCCGTGAGACGAGTGCAAAACACCTAAGAATGATTTTAATAATTACTATGTTTTAAATTTTTGCATCACACAAAAATAATGTGTCGTATGCAAACTGGAATATATTCACTAGCACCTCCTTATGCCATACTTTAAACCCTTCTAGCATTTTCCTTCTAATCGTATGCTTAACCGTCCCTTTCAATCGTTTAGCAACAAGTAAGAACATAAAAGGTGTCAAAGGGTCACCTTATCTTAAGCCCTTAGTGGATTGGAACTCCTTAGTTGGATTACCATTAACCAAGACAAATATAGAAGTTGATTTTAGGCATCCTTACATTCACTTAATTTTCTTATTTCATGAATCTAGTGTGTCCATGATATAGCAAAGAAAGTCCTATCTAACTGAGTCATGTGTTTTTTCATAGTTTACCCTAAGTATGACACAACTTTTCACCTTTTCATTTTGCCTCATCTACCACTTTATTTGAAATTAAGACGCTATCCAACAAAAATTATCCTTTAAAAATGCTTATTATGATTTGTAAATAATCTTAGGTATGAAACGTTTCAATTTAAACAATATTACATTTGAGATTATCTTATACATACAACTTACCAATGATATAGTGATGGAATCCATCTTGGAAACTAAATGGAAATCAATCAAGGTAAAATCAACTTAAGCTAAGACTAGGATATTGGAAAAAGAAGAAGGACTTTCAAGCTTGGTTTTGCTTTCCCTCAAGCTTTAGAGGACATTGAACCTCTCATAACCATGGTCAAGAATAAAACAAGAAGAAGGAGATTCAAGAACACTACTCTTAGGGAGGATCACATACTAAGTTTTCTTCTTTTATCTTAAACATTTTTGTAAATATGTAATGTAGTTTCATTAGGCCTTGTATTTGGCAAATTCCACAATACATGGAAAATACTTAAGGATTGCAATGCTTTGATTTTAGCACTAATAACCAAGGTAGATAACCTACAGGGCTTAGAAGAGTACAAACCTATATGATGGTGCATGCTTTGAGTAAGCTCCTTTAAAGGTGATGATCTCCAAATGGGTTGATGAAGCTTCTTGAAAGTAGTGAACTCCATGGAAGAGATGAATGAAGCGGAAGCAATTAGATGAAGAGAAGATGATGCTTGATGATATGCGGTTTTGGTAGAGGTTCCTATAAGGAGGTTAGGTCAACCTTGAAGGAGAAAGTATAAAGAAGTCTAAGAGAAGACAACTCGTAAGGTAAGACTAGAAGGAGTTGGCTAGAATACATTGTATTTGAAAAGAGAATAGAAGGTTCTTATGGCAAGGGGGGAGGAATGAGAGCCTTACCTCTAACTAATCATCCACATTCAATGTAGGAGAGCCTCCCTTGATGTTGACACCTTTCAAACCTTCTAAACTCTTCCAAACCCATTTTTAGGGGCAAATCCTCTAAAACATGCTCTATTGGTGCACTAGCTCTCATTTAACACCACTAAACCTTTTAAACAAAGCTAAACAAAGGTGCAACACTTCCTTTTCCTCGGCCTAACTAATCATCCACTACTTATCATAGGTGAAAAGGTGCAACACTTCCTTTTCCTTGGCCTTCACAACCTATGACAAACAAACCCCAAATTTACAAGGTACAACAAGAAGACATAACAACCAAGCATGTCTTCCAGCTTCACACTGAATACACAACAACACCCCACAACAACAATAAAACTAATATCCAACATTACACCATGTTCCAACACAACATGACAATCATCACAACAACTCAGCCAAACACACTCACAGCC